AGGCAAACTGTCCGTTAGGCAATGTGTCTTTAGGCAAACTGTAGTTAGGCTAAATGTCTTTAGTCAGATTGACCGGGTACCGTCCATGAGTTCTCAATTTGAAGAGCTGTTCTCTTCCACTTGATCAGTAGTCTGTATGATGACAAACTGGCGCTATCCATTGTATACTGCAAACGATTAGCGGAATTGAGATGCGTCAATATGTTCAAAACAAACATTAGAGTTAAGTTATTCACGAAACAGCTCCAATGAACAAATCTGAAATGGGGTCATCACTTTTCGATGATTGAACAAGAATTATTACAGTACCGAGAATTGAGACGCTCATAAATTCAGTCAAGCATACATCATCCGAAATATTCTGCGTAGCCATTCTAGTTATACAGACAATCAAGCATTTTCGAGCAAACAATACTTTTTTGGACGCTGTTTTGACGATGCAGTCTACTAATCGCCTCATTTTTGATCCTACATCAGGAATTCGACTACAATATTGCTCTGAATTTGCATTCCTCATCAATCAATGATAGACAATTTTTGTGTTAATTTCGAATCGACAAAGATATAAATTCCAAATCTGATCATTAATTTCCTCTCGCTAGTCCCTTGAGATATAAGAATGAAACTAAAAATGCATACACTTCGTCGAATTTCAAACGAAAACTGTTTTGGGCATTTGTTAGTAACGATGATCAGATTTTCTTTCATTTTGACTCAACGAAAAGAACGATAAACAAACTCCACATTCTTATTCCCGGATCACATTAGAATTCATTCTTGAAGCTGAATTCAAAAGATAAATTTGCCTTCGAATTTTGACAGATGACCAGACCTTACGAAGAAGCAATTCACTGCAATGATTGACATTTGCGTAATGGGAGCATTGTTAGAGTGCAGTTTTTTGCTCGATATTTTTGTTCAACTAAAATTTGGCTTCAGGAAGAATGGAACATTGAAAAACGCGTATAGGCGAACGGAACTGAATTGTCTTTAACGATTGCATAAAATAAATCCTTAATTCACAACTAATCCTGTCGTTGTCAGATTCCAGAACGTTTAAAGGCATCAGCGATCGCCAAGAAGCAAACATACGCCCAAGTACACATCAATTGCTGATAAGCACTTGAGTTATTTTTCAATCGTATTACATAATTCTTCGTCCTGTTAAGTAATCTCAGTTTTCAAAGGCAATCTGAACAAAATTCATTCACCGTTTTGAAATTGTTGGGAGTCATTGGATTGTTTCAACGAGTTAGAGAAGCGGTGTCTATTCAAAATAAAATGCATGCGTATTGAATAATGGAACATTTCAACATTGAAAACACTTGTTTTATATGATTACAAAGAAATATTGGAAAAAATGAAACCGAAAAGGGATCCGCCCATGCATACCTCTAACTTGAATCGCAAAATACTTTACAACGACAATCATTTTATCAATTTGTTATTTGCTACGTTTAGTTCGCTCATTTAATTTTACTGATATCATCATCAATATTACCGTTCCACGTTATCTTTCGTAGCTATCTCGTTTTGTCGTTTTCAGTGGCTCGAAACGCACACAGCATATATCCAAAAGCAGTCGTGTTTATGCCCAGACGTGTTTCAGTGATGAATTTCTCTAAAACAAATCACGCTCAAAGCTTTACCAAATGAAACTTGTATAGAATTGGTTCAGTAATGAATAAAAGCTTTCGTCCAAAACAAACCAGTCATTAAACAAAACCGTTGCTAGAACATGAATTCTTGTCCAATCCGAAGCTCCTTCGAACAACCAAAATCATNTTTTTTTCTACATATGGTGTGCTAAAAGTAAAAAATCTAGATTTTGTCAGCTTCCGATGTGCTAAAAGTGAAAGATCCCGTGAAATGAGACCTCATCAATGTATAAAATGAATATCGAATGAGAGAAGCACGTTTTGAATATGTTTCACCAAAGAATAAAGAATCTGAAGAATGAATTTTTGATCCAGTTTGTTGAGAGCGATCATCTTTCAACATTTCAACGATGTCTTTTTTCGTTTCACATTTGTAAACTGTAATCAAAATAAATATCATTATTCTCAACTGAATTCCTTTTTCGTTCATTTTTCTCTCCTCAAACATTCTTCATACGAAAGTATCGTTATAATCCATTAGGTTTTTGATGGCTTCGTCATTATAATTTATTCATTAATCGGTCAGTGTTTCAGATGATGAATTATTATTTCATTCACTACGAATCGTTATCAGCGACAATTGATCGCGGTTCTGTGATAGTTCATACGTGATACGACTGATTTAAATGCAGTATCAGAACCTGTGGTTTCTGTAATCATCAAATTTTGGCTCTTATTCGTTGTGCACATTCGTAATGCCCAAAGTCTCGAATAAATGAATGATTTTCGCTTTTCAGATATTCGTTTCTGTTTATTTACGTAGACAAAGGCGTCTGTTGCCGGATGAACAGTGTCGAATAAATGTTTGGTCCGGAAGTGATTTGTTTCTAATGATACTTCGAACTACTGCGAGTGTGTTTATGTGAAGGAGAGTGATTCTGGTCGCGTTTATACATTGGCTGCACCTATTCATTGCACCTGCTTCTATCTGATCCTGCTCGGACACTAATAATATAACAGTGTGAATACTTATATTCGAGAGAGCAGCCCTTCAGAATCTCAGTTGCTGATTACACTTATGTATTGATATCTGCGAAGATATATTGTCCCAACCGATATCAACAAACATTTTTGCTTCACTTCATTGAAGATAAATGTCAATAGGTAATTCCTTCATCGTACGAGTATATCACTGATGATCAATTTAGAGAATCTGAGCTGTGTTTGTTCACTGCCTAAATGTTTCAATATCATAGCACTTGATCAACTCGAACTTGCAACAGCAAGAACGTTTTCTTCAGAAAATTTCAGTATCCC